TGCCATGACAGACTTTGGCTTGCTTTCGAGTAGAAGGCCCACTCTGAGTGCAAATAGGGGTTTTATTTTCATGATCCTTGTTTCAGGTTCTTCAAATATTGACACCTGCTCAGTTTCCAGTTGTTGCCCATGACTTCTTGACTTGGTTTCTGCCCTGAGTTGTATGGTATCCTAGGCACTGGGGAGGGGAATTATGTCCACATATGATGTGAGATGATTTGAAGAAGTGCTGTATGTGAAGAGGGTAAGTGGCTTACAGCCCCAAGACAGCCTCCTTTTCAGCCCAGTTTCATAAAATTGACTGTAATTGGTGCTTCCCTGAGCTCCAGTGCTCTGTCTGCAGCTGAGAGCCTCTCTGAGCTTAGATTTTCCTCTCTAGCTTTGAAAACATCAAAGCTACCATATCTAAGCTAATCTTGAGAGTAAGAACCCACACATGTTTTGGCGGTGCTAATAGAAAATAGCTTTTGGACAGGAAGATTTGATCCATGTGACAAGGCACTTTCAGAAGCTTATGTAAAACTAAACTGGATTTGTACAAAAACCTTGCAGTACAAGATGCTTTTTAAAAAAAAACTAGTAACTTTCAGAAAGAGGCCAGACATTGAGGCTGGAAGAGGCTGCTTTCCTATCATTCCATTTGTTTGCTCTACCTTTCACTCGACTGCCTTCAGTTTTTAAATTCCCACTTTGATTTCCAGAGGCCCGTGAGTGCAGTGAGATCTCCTGCAACCCAGGAGACCTAGGGGAACAGATATTCATAAAAACTCCTGGAGGATTTCTTTTTAAAGCTTCTCTTTGCCAGAGTTCTCCCTCTTGGATCCAGATAGCCTAGGGGGCCAGAAGGGAGGTCACCAAGCAGGAGAAGTGTAGCAGGCAGGCACCAACTGGGCTACTAAGGCTAGACTCAGCCCCTACCCACTATAGATCGCCTCTCCTGACCACTGTCAAGGGCCTCAGAGAGAATCCTCTCAAAGTAGCCTTTTCTTGGTAAAAGAGGCAGAGCCTGAAAGGTCAAGGGACATCAGAACTCACACAGCTGTTTGTGAATCAAATGAGGAGCCGTCCTGCCCCTTCTGAGTCCTAGAGTGATCAACAGAGGAGATCACTTATTTTCTGTGTGTGTGTACAGTCATTCTGTGAAGCAGATAAGACAGCTTGATTATGGACCAGGCCACCTCTTCAAGCTCTTCACAAAATACATGATTGAGTCCATTTACTATGTGTGGAAATAGCCTTCATATCAAGAGAAGTAAAAGAAATCGATGTGAAACCATTAGGCATGGAATGTGTGGGTCTAGAAGGCTTACTCAACAGTCTTCTCCTACACAGGGACCATTATGTGAGCTCATACCCAGGGTGTTTTGGGCCAAGTTGTTTTCCTCTGGGAATGCAGGAGGGAGGTGATGACTTGGTCTTCTGGTGCTGGCGTGGATTTTGGGAGGTGGGATGGGGCAGTCTCTTAATCTTTAAGTATTTTATTGGTCAAATAACCCCATCCTTTTCTGGGCTATTTTTAATTTTCTGCCTTAATTTCCTTTTTGGTGTGGTGAATTCCATATGCAGAGCATTTCTTGAGCATTCATGGTATGCTGAGCACCCGGGAGGCACTGTCACATGTTATCCTCTGTGCTGCAAGAGGTATCACTGATTATTTTCTCAGTGACATTAGAGAATTAGAGAAAAAATTATATCTATATCTATATCTATATCTATATCTATATCCATATCCATTGCAAGGGGAGGACAGAAGGAAACCAGAGTCTAAGGAGGCAATTACCCTTTCCAATGTGGAAAAGACAGGGTCTATAACCCTATAGTCTATGCTTCTTGAATTTTTAAGGAAATCAGGCAGGAGTCAGGTCAATTCCTGATCCTAATGAATGAAATGTTATAAATACTAAGCATCATTTGCAAGCATATCTGGCTTATAAATTGTTGTTTGAATCTGTTGGAATTTTTTTTCTTTTTTAACCTATTTATTTATTTGGTATAAGATCTCGCTACACAGCTCAGACTCATAGTGATTCTCCTGTCTCAGCCTCCCCAGTGCTGGGATTACAAGGGTGTGCACTACTCCTGGTTTCAGTGGCTGACTCAATGCAGAGCTGGCATGTCATGTGGTACCTGGGATTGAACCTGGGTCCTTGCACTTGTCAGGCAGGCACTTAGGTTGCTGAGCAATCTCCACAGCCCTTGTTGGTATTTTTACATAGTCATTCTTGATGAAGAGGTCAGTCTGGGATCTTTCAGTGCTCGGTTCTGAGGTTGTCCCACCACCCAGGATCATCTCAGGATGCCCGAGAAGCACAGGTCCTCTGTACAGCACTTCTCACCAATGTGTCCCCTTACTTATATCTGGAGGCTTCCTTCCAAAGAGAATGGTAGAAATCTTATTTCTACCCCTGTCTAATTCCATAGGTCAAGGACAATTGTTTGTGGACCTTTAAATTTTTTAAATCTTAAGTTAATTGAAAAATATGTGATTTACAGAGATGGTAGTATTTATGATAAGTCTTCCTAAGGGAAACCTGGGATTTTATAGTAACACACACAGTAGGGAAGCTGGAATTTTCTGTGTAACTGTATCTTCAGAAGGGTAACTAAGGCTGTACTCTGTGAATGATACAGATAGAAAAAGGCTAACTCAGATTTTGCAGACACTAATTTGGAAGGAGATATCTAGGTTAATTTATACAAGATAAAAGCATCAAATTCAACTCAATTTCTAGACATCACTTAGACTTACCATATTTTAATTGTAGAACCCCAAACATTTACCTCTTCAACCTCTAATAAAGATACCTGAGAGAGCAAAATTTGTGAAAGTCAGAGAAGGGAGGGTGACAGGTTCTGTATAGTAGACTCCCGGGTATACTTGGTCAGTGGAAGAAAGCTGAATCAAAGGCTTGGCAAAGTAGTAATAAGATTAGACACAGGCAGCCAGATAGATAGATAGATAGATAGATAGATAGATAGATAGATAGATAGATAGATAGATATGGAATAAGGAACCAAAGGTCTAAGGAGACCCGTAGGAAAAACACTTCTGGGTGGAACTGTAGCTTCCTTTCCACTGGATAGTTGAGCTTCCTGGGCCCACCTCTGAGCCCAGGCTCAGTTTGATGCCTCAAGGAGATGCTGGCAGCTGGAGGGTGCTTGGCCTCGCTCTGTAAGGTACTATGCCTGCCAGATCACACCTTTGCATGTATTTCAGGATGTAAAGGGCAGGGACTTCTTGCTTAGAATGATGGCTACTGCTTCACTTCATGTGTAGACAGAGCAGTCATCTTAAATACTGCTAGTCTGTGATATAAGAAGGGGCCAGACCTGCCCATTGGAGACGGGAGGATGTTAAGGGTGAGCATCTGCATGGAGGTTCTGATCTGCCAACAGCTGTGGAGGATCTCGTGGAAATTATCTGCCCCCATTTAATTTCACTTTTGGATCTAATCACCCAAGAACGCCAGGATGCTCCAGGTGAGAGATCAGTTAAGAGCATTTCCATGTGGAGTTAGAATAATGGGCTAAGAGAGGTTTGAGCATTACTGGGAGGCGGATTGGGCTAAGGAATATCAGGAGCAGCAGAGGTAGCTTGATCTGGAATAGAGTTGCGGTGACCAGTGACCTATGTCTTTGCATTCACATGGCTGTCCTGACGTGACGTCACAAGAAGGAACATAGAAGTGAGGCCAGACATAAGGAAACAGCAAGGGAGCAAGTCCAGTGGAAAACGGCCTAGAACCGTACTCCATCCTGGCCTTCTGAGGTTCTGTGCATTTTAGGAAGACACTCGTGAGAAACGACAACAAATCTCAGTATGGGGAAAAAGCACAGATGAATCATACATTCACTCTCAACAAGGCCCCAGAGGCTTCTTGAAGCACTGGCTGTCCATTTGGAAAGGCAACAGCAAGTGTCCATGCCAGTGAGAAGCTCTGCTGTTCTGCTGATGGAAACTTGGGGGGTGGGAGTAGGAGCACTGGGCTATAAAGTGCCATCTCAAGTCAGCCCCTCCAAGATGCAATGAGTGTTGGACACTGCCGGAGATTGCCAGTCACAGTGAAATAAACCACAGTCTGTGGTGGAGGAATGCTTCAACCTCACTGGGTACTGAACCTTCCTACCCGGGCCTCTGAGATGCTCCATATTACATGTTTCTATCATGTTTAGTCTTTCAAAAAAGGTAAAAAGTAACTGATCAAATTATAGTCAATGACCCACACTGGAAACTGCACCCTGAGCACCCTGCCTGCCCTGCTTCTCAGCAGGGCCTTCAGGGGCTGCTGATGACTCTATCCAAGTGCAGCTTCTTTCTCCTGCTCTTCAGTTAAGCAGTGAGATAATGGGGCCAGGGCAAGCTCTCTTCTTGGGTTTTTAAAGGAAGAGGTTAAATAGCAAAGTGAAAGAAGTAGCAGCTAGAGAGTGGACCCAAGTGAGTGATGTGTTAGAGTAGGTCTAGAGTGGGGTCTGCCTCTAGACCTAGCCAGCTGTCCATGTCCCAGGGCTTAAATACAGGTGTCCCCTGGTTCTGCTGTTAGGTTCTGGCCTCCAAGCCCTGGAGCATCACAGCTCTTGATCTGTGGGAGCATCTAGGAAACCTTCCATGTAAAGAGGGTGGAAAGGATTAACTCTTCTAGTTTGATGAAGCCATTGACCATTTGACAATCTTGGTATGGATTCTAAAGCATATGGACTACTTTTGTTACCCCTGGAAGAGAAGAATCCAGGCTGTGTCCAGAGTTGACATATTTGCCACCATCTGTTCGTCCAGTTGCTTGTTTCTGATCTATAGTGACAATTCCTGTTTTCTGGAACATTTCAGGAAGGCAGAGTGTCCTTGTACTCTTGCGTGTGAATGTGCACCACCGAGCAGACTTGTTCCTCCACTGGCTTCCTGGGGTTCTGACCACACGTCCCCTCCCCTCCCAGCCTTACCCTTCCTGTGGCCTTGCAGAGTCTCCAAGTCCTTCACTTGTTTTCCCCTTGCGCTTTCCCAGAGCCAAGCCATGCGCATCGTGCGGACGGTGGGGCAGGCCTTCGAGGTCTGCCACAAGCTGAGCCTGCAGCACACGCAGCAGAATGCAGATGGCCAGGAAGACGGGGAAAGCGAGAGGAACAGCAACAGCTCCGGGGAGCCCGGCAGGGACCCAGGTAGGCACTGTCGCTGCAGTGGATAGCGAGCGTGCACACCCAGTGGGTGCTGTTGGGCCGCTCCCAAAGGCCAGGTGATTCCTGTACTTACCAAGCATTGCACTTTCTCTGTTTCTAGAGTCCAGATTTTCTCTCTAAGAAACATGTATTACTTTTTATAAGAAAAAATTAAAGTTGGCAGGTGTGGAAGGTGAAGTTTGAGAACAGTTTCCAAAGGTGGAGCTGTCTGTGCAACCACATCTGACCCCAAAGAAACTTCAAGAAACCCACACCATAAGGCAAATTAAAAAGATAATAAATATACAGTTACCCCAATTTGTCTAATTTCTAACTTCTGTAGTTTTATAAGCCCTTAGGGTAGATAGTGTTTCAGTATCTCCAATTTTCAAGCCTCATTAAAAGCAGGAAGGGAACAGAGGTGGTTTTTTTTTTTTTGATCATCTCTGTCATTCAATAGTAGATGCAAAAAATGCAGATGGAAAATCCCAAAAAAATAAGTTAAAAATTATTAGAATTAATAAATATACTGAAAATTACTAGGATTAATAAGAACATTCACTAGGAGCTGACCAAAGCCCAGTATCACATAGGCATTTATGATTTTCATATATTCCTATAACTAGTTAAAATTAGTGATGGAAGAAAAATGGCAATTTAAAAAATGAAGTGTCTATAAAAATTATTATTTTTTTCTTTCTCTCTCTCTCTCTCTCTCTCTCTCTCTCTCTCTCTCTCTCTCTTTTTTGTGGTACTGGGGCTTGAACTCAGGACCCTGCATTTGCCAGGCAGGCACTTCTACTGGGCTATCTCCCCAGTCCCCAATTTTTTTTTTCCATATGAAAAACATTGAAGGGCATGCTGTGTTCTTGGATGGGAAATCTCAATGTCATAAAAATGTTCATTCTCCCTATGTTAGTGTACAAATTCAACATAATCCAAAGTTATGAGATATAGCTAAAAGAATGCTTAAGGGAAACCCCAAATTTCAATTATTTATATTAATAGATGACAAATATTTAAAGTCAAATGAAGTAAGCATCCATCTCAGAAAGGCAGAAAACAACAAAATAAATCTCATGCTGTTGAGTGTTAGTATTCTAAGGTAGGTGAAAGAACAGACTCTTAGTTTGTAGTCTAGTGTACATCAGTGGCTGTGTGATCCTGGGCAAGTTCTGTAACCTCTCTGTGCCTTAGTGTCCTCTTCTGAAAGATAAGAATCATAGTAGTGTGCGTCTCATAGAAATACTGTCCTAGGCTGACCAAATAGCTCAGTGGATTAAAGCACCTGCAAGCAGGCTCAGGGGCTGGAGTTCAATACCAGGGCCTGCCATACTGGCCCTGCCCCCACAGCATGCTGAGACAGCAATTGAGACTGAGCTGGTGGCATGCGCCTATCCAGCTCTTGAGAGGCTGTAAATGGGCGGATCACTATGAGTCCCATCTAGTAGCAAGACTCTGAACACCCTGTAGGCCCTTCCTTAAAATACAAAAAAATAAATAAAAATGCTGTCATAATTAGGTGAACTATACATTTAAAAATGCCAAGTCTGAACCTTGGCATATAAAAAGTACTAAATATATATTATTACTTTAATGTAAATATGCCAATTTTTTAAAAAAAATTCTGGAAAGGATGAGTAATGACAAAGGAGTGCCCTGCCATATCTAAAAACATGTAGTAAAGCTGCAGTAAGTAAAACTTTACTGATGGTGGAATATGTCCCTAATAGACCAGAGGAGAAACTGAGAAATAAACATAGATTCCTGTGCTAACATAGTATATGACAGAAGTAGATTCCTTGTGGAGAACAGTGTGGGAAGGCTAGTTAAATGTGTAGGCTGACCCCTCATTGCCTTCAATTTCCTTACTGAGAATTTATCCTAAAGACAGACCCATATATTTGTGCTGCATATGCAGTATAAACAAAGAGCCAGTTAAAAAACAAAAGGATTGGAAACAGGCAAGTTTTAAATAAATCATAGTACAGTAATGGAATTGTGCACAACCATTAAGAAGAATGACTCAGTTATCTACTCACTGATATAAAGCCATCTTTCAGGGGTTGGGGAGATGGCTCAGTAGAATAAGCACTTGCCTGGCAAGTGCAAGGGCCTGAGTTCAATCCCCAGTTCTGCAAAAATAAATGAATAAAAATAAAAATAAAGCCATCTTTCACATATTTTGTTTATTTTATTGATTGATTGATTGATTGCTTGATTGATTTTTATCTATTTGGTACAGGGTCTCACTATGCAGCTCACACTTGTAGTGATCTTCCTGTTTTCAGCCTCCCCAGCATTGGGATTACAGGTGTGCACTACCACGCCCAGTCTCGGTAGCTGGCTCAGTGTGCTCAGGGGCAGGGCTGGCGTGGCATGTGGTGCTGGGGATGGAACCCAGGTCCCTGGGCTTACCTAAGAAGACACTTAGTCTGCTGAGCTGTCTCTCCTGTCCTGATGTTTTGTTTATTGAGGAAATCAGAACTGTGGATATAGTGTGCTACCTACCAATTGCAATGTATTACAAATACATAGATATCCATGTGTGGGCCCAGCTATATATGTGTACCTATGTAGTCACACATGTGTTTCTTATGCATAGATTATTTCTGGCATGAGGAACAAGAAACTAGTAGCTGTGGTTCATTCTGGGAAAAGCAGCTGGGTAGCTAGGGTGACAGGAAGATTTACTTTCCACTGTACTTTCATAAATTTTGTACTTTGGACATATATTGGTTATAAATTTAGAAAACCTGACATTTTCATCTAGAGTTCAGTTTCTGTGTGACCACAGGGACTTCCCTTATTTCCATCTTGGCTCAATTGTTTTTATTAAATAGTGGTATTCTTTTACTGATGCAGGTATCTCGGTAATCATCACTATTTAAAAAATTATTGTATATACAGAGCCTTGCCTTTTGTTGTGAGTTCTAGACCAGTTATAGCTTTAGCATATTACAGTACTAAAGTTTTGAAAATTGTACATCTCTGTGTTCTGAGGCTTAAAGAACAGAGAATTAATACAGAGAATTACAGGCAGACCTTGGCAGGCACTGCACGTAGCTCCTCTGGCCAGTGAGTAGGACATAATGATGACATTGCCTATAAGCATCCCCCAGAGGCCTCTGCGAGTCCATGGCTGTACACTCTGCTCAGAGAACAGAAGCCAGTCTGCTCACTTCTGTGCTGAGGATGTGTTGGAGCTGCTGGCCAGGGAGGATGGATGCCCTGCCTCTCTGGTTTTGCTTTGGGACTGTCCCATTGGTGCAGCCTCCGGAGCTTTCAAGCCCACAATTTCTTAGGTCATCAGTATACCAGTATCTGAAGCCATTCTCACCAGGAAGTTGTCTCTGGTGAAGCCACTTATTCCTAGAGTGAAAAGGGCTAGACACAGAGGGTGCCCAGAGAGGCTGACCATTTGTGCTGCTATCACAGAAGTTCTGTCTGAGAAGCTTGACCTGATCTCTGAGTGCCTAATCAGAACCCACTGTTCTGCTGCTGGCTAGAGAGATCTGGGCAGCTTGGCTTTATTTTTGTTCTTGCTTCTTTTTTAGTGTTGAGGACTAAACTCAGGGTCTTCTGCATGGTAGGCAAGTGGTCCATGACTGAGGTACACCGCAAACCTCTGGGTTTTTTTTTTTTTTGTTTTTTTTTTGTGTGTGTGTGTGTGTGTGTGTGTGTTGTTGTTGTTGTTGTCGTTGTTGTCATTGTTGTTTTGGAGATTGAACCCAGGAACTTTACACTGACTACATCCTAGCCTACATATATAACTTTTTTTTTCAAACAGAGCCTCACTAAATTGCCCTGGCGGGATCAAACTTATGGCCCTCCTGCCTTAACCCTCCCAAAATGTTGGAATTGTAGGTGTGCACTGCCATGCCCAGCTTGAGCTGGTCTCTGAGGAGGACAGCTCGTGTGGTGTTTCTCACAACGCCGAGGAGTGGCTCTTGCTTTCCTCCTGCGGCAGGAGCCTCGCCTGCTGTCCTCTGCAGGCATCTGCCGGGTGGGTAGGTTGGTGCTATTTCCTGGGTGCTGTGGAAAATTCCCTCGGGGAGTGAGCAGGCATTCCAACAGGGATCACTTCCTGTGCTTTTTTTTCCTGCCCTACTTCCCTCCCTCCTCCTTGTGTGCCATAAGCTCCTTCCTGCCCCAGATGAGTCATGTACTTTCTAGCCATTCTTAATGTGGTTCCCTCTGCCAAGGGTCTCTGTGTTCACCTTCATGCAGATATCTGGCTTGTCTCACAGACACAGCTTTGGGTCTTCTGGGAATACCACCTCCCCTCCCAGCAAATTCACTCTTTTATTTATTGTTCTGGGTCCTTTTATTGGCCAATGCTGTGGACATTAGCATTCAACCCTCTTTGTACCAGATATGCAGCATCCTCTATCTTTAATGGCATGGTAGGCCTCGGAGGGTAGGAGTGTCCTAGCACAAGAACTACTTGTTGAATAAAGTGACAATCACAGTCAGTGAGTGCTACCATGAGCATGGGTGCTAGTCACTGTCAACAAGCTTTTATTAAGTGCTTACTGTATGCCAGAATAAGCTTGGCAATTGAGTATAGATTCCAAGAGGGAATGACCTTTAAGCAGCTTTGTTGATAAGGAATGATGACACTTGGGATGGGAGATGAAGCACCTAGAGAGAGGCTGAATGTTGGGATCTGCAGGAAGCTAGGAAACTGATCATATGTGTGTAGATGGGACTGGGCCTCACTACCCAAAGCAAACAAGCTATCTCACTCCTGAGATAAACAACCTATTTGGTTAAGATCAGGTATTAGTCGGTAGACAACCTTGTGTCATGTGCTACAAATTTTGCAAAAGTATAAATAAATGTAAGTTTCATTGTACAGGGTGTTAGTCTTGCCCATCAGACAGAACAGCGACCACCTAGCCCAGCTTTTGTCTTCTTGTCTATTTTTCTCATTCCTGCTGCCATTTCTCCCTGGGTAGAACTGATCACAATGAGACCCTACAGCTGAGTGCTAGCTAGAGCATTCATAGAAGGCATTAGTGGTGACAGTGGCTACAGAGAGAGACCGCTGCTGTGCACTGTGTCTGTGATCGATGGTCAGCACAGAACTGACGGGCCCTCTGACCATATTCACACTTCATTTTATTACCTTTTGGGAGATAATTTTCTCAAACCACATTATTATACATGAGACCTCAGTTACTTGGCATATTCCATATACACTCTCCCTAAGAAGAATGCAATTGGCATTCTTCATGTAGACACGTCTGGGAGCATTTTTGGAAAGCCTGTCAGAAGCAGGGTGGTGTATTCAAAGTTGAAGGTGTCTCTGCAAGAAGATCAGGCCTGGGTTGGTGGGCTCTGATGCACACTGGACACCTGACGGTCATAGGAAGGGAAGCACTTGGGTTGCCTGCAGAGGTGGTGCTGTGTCCTAGGTGTGAGACAGATTATGTTCAGGGTTTAGAGACACACATATACATCCTTCAAGACAGGGACATTTACTCTCAAAAAATGACTCCCAGGGCTGTAGAACCTTATTGGATCGGAAGTTTTGGGGATGAGGTCTGCAGGGTGAAGGCGTGGCTTGAGTCTGAAATTCCCGCTTCCTCCAGAGAAGTAGATCTTTTTTCTGTTGGAGCCTTCAACTGATCAGGTGAGTCCACCCCATTACCTATTGAAGGCCATCTGCCTGACATACATTTTGCCAATTTGCATGTTAGTTGCCTTTTTAAAATACCATTGCAAAGTACCAGTGAGATAGCTCAGCAGACTAAGTGCCTACTTAGGCAAGGGCAGGGATCGGGGTTCGATCCCCGGCACCACATGCCACATTGGCCTCACCCCCATGCGCATTGATCCAGCAGCTGAGCCCAGGCCATGGTGGTACATGCCTGGGGAGGCTGAAAACAGGAGGATCACTATGAGTCTGATCTGTGCAGTGAGACCCTGTACCAAATACATTAAAAAACAAAAAATAAATAAAATACCATCACCTCTAGAGTGGCATTCGGCAAATACCTGGGTCTTGCAGTGGTCTTGCCCAGATGGCACTAAAGTTAGGCATCATGGGGGGGGCAGGCAGGGTAACAGTGACAGAGGGCTGGGCTGGTGGACTGGAGGTGCAGATGACTGGACTTGAATCCTGACCCTGTCCCTTGTCAGCTGACCAGTCCTTAGCAAACTCCATACTGTTTCTGGACTTCGTTTCTCCTTTTCAGGGCCTGATGAGAGAATGTGAGGCAGTCGGGATGGGCCGACACACAGTAAGCCTTTCATGAGTGTTAGCTATTTATCTCAGGTTCCAAGGCTGCCTCTGTAGCACATGACCTCAGCTGTACTCAGAGTGGAGCAGACAGGAATGTCTCTGCAGTGCTGTCATTTATTTTATGACAGGTTTGAGTGAGGTGACTGCTCCAATGTCCACAGGTTGCTGTGTAATATTGTGAAGCTGAGTGTATTTCGAGTAGGAGCAGCTGGGGTTGCAGTTGGCCTTGGGGTTAGAAGTGCTTGCTTCTCCTGAAAGCTGCCTGCTGACTTGTCCCCCTATTTTCTTTCTGGTACCCCATTCACTTTTCTACTGCCTGTACACAGCTAGGATATGGCGCTTCTTTTCATAAGCACTTCTCCCAGGAGCAGTTTTGGACTCCACTGGGATTTTCTTCTGTAATGGGGCACCTTAAGGGTCCAGGGAACTGTTGGTTAACAGTTTTTGACAAGAATCTGGCTTCCCCATTAGGGCTCCTTTCATTTAACATGTGTTTATCTTTCCAGGGGAGTAGCTCCCTGCTGTGGTGGGCAGCCCTTTATTATGGGGAGGAAACTTGTTTACTCTTGGGAATTGGAAAGCCAAGTGCTGTCTAAGCCTCGCTGTGGTCTTTGATGTCTGCCAGCGCTTTCCCTGAGTTTCAACGGTGTTTTTATTGAGGTTATTCACTTCCCTTGTGTGTGCCTCCTCTCTCTCTCGCGTCTTTTCTCCCTCATTCTTCCTATGTCCCCTACCCTGGGGGAGGTTTAGCTTTTCTGGTTTCTGGCAGCAGTGGCCCTTGGCCCAGCCTGGAGCTGTGAGCCAGGTGGGGCCCCTGTTCCTGCCCTGTGCTGTCTCCCTGACCCCTCCTGGAGCGCATCTCCTGGGAAAGAGGCTGTTCCCTTGGAGGCTGATGGGGGACTGGGGGAGGAGTCCGATACATGCAGGATGGGAAAGGGCTCCGAACCCCAGGGAAGAACGAAGCTTCTTACAGATAAAGCGTGCATGTGTGTGCGCGCGCCCGTGCATGCATGTGTGTGTGTGTGTGTGTGTGTAGCACATAAATTTTACTCAGCAAAAAGCTGAATACAATATCATGTTACTAACTAGAGTCCTCATGATATATATTACATTTCTAGACTTAATTTATCCCACACATCTATATCTTTGTATGATTTCATGTACATCTTTTCTCTTTCTCTAACAGGGAGATTTTGTTTGTTTGTTTGTTGTTTTTGATGGCACTGGGGATCAAACTGGCGACCTTGCACTTACCAGGCAGGTGCTTATGCCGCTGAGCTATCTCGCCAGCCCTGTTCTGTTTTCCTATGTGTTTAACTTTTTTTTAAAGATTCATATCTAAGAAAAAGGGATAAACAGTGAGATGATGGATGTGTAAATTTGCTTAGCTATAGTGCCATTTCACTGTGTATAAGTTTACCAAAGCATTATTTTCTACCTTACCTATAATGTCCAATAAAACCTCCTGATCTAGACGGCAAACCTTTGGTGAATAACAGCTCATGATGCTCCCCTTCATCCGGATGTGCGCATCTTGCTCATTCCCAGTAGTGAGCCCTTTGGGCTCCCGGACATCCTTGTGCCCTCACAACTGCCCCGACATCTCCTCAGATCACGTTACCTGGTCCCCATCTTTCATCGCCTCATTTTAGTTCACTTACTTCATTCATGTTTACCAAGTCCATGCCAGGGGCTGGGCTCCCTTCAGATAGTAAGACAACAAGAAGCCCACGTGCAGAGCCGAGGTGCAGGATGTAACCAAGGTACGGAGAGACAAGATCATGTGAGACAGCGTAAAATCCACGAGGAAAATAAAGCGGGTTAGGTGAGGACAGGTGGGGTCAAGCGGGAAAGCAGAACGGGTTCAAGGTTAAAGGCACAACCCTGGAGCCGGAATTGCAGGCTTCAAGCCCCTCTGACCCCAGCACTCTGTGGTTCCATGTCTTTCTCTGTCACATGAGGGGCAGATTAGTTCCTACCTCTTAGCATGGTTATGGTAGGTGAGTTAGTACATCGTGAACAAAGTAAGTGCCACTTAAGCTTAACTGGTTACTGTTAGCAGTTTGGAGGCAAAATCCAGCCATGTCAGGCACTTTGGATTCAGGTTGGAACCTTTTGGTTTTGTCCAAATCAGTGCCTGCGCAAACCACAGTTCTGCATTTGCCCAGCAGTATCTAATTGTCATTACCCTATAATGCTGGACAGCACTGAGGAAAACGCCCATCCATGCATTGATCTGTCAGTACACTTGTGATCCCCAAACTCGGCACCAACCACTTTGCCTCTCAGCAGTCCTTCTTGTCCCCAGCATCCTTCTCAGCGAATGACAGCCTCAGGCCATGACTGACCCTGGAATCTGCCTTCACTCTCTACCCACTCACGTACTGCTTCCCTCCGTTTTCTGCTAGCTGCTGTACAGTAAATATCACAGGCTCTTCTTCTCCTCCTGGATGTGGTCCCTGGGTTCTTTTCTGACTCCCATGGCTTTTATGGTTATCTGTCTTCAGGCCGGACCTTTACCTGAATTCTTCATTCCTCTTCTTTTTTATGGCAGGCGTACAATACCCTGCCCGACTGAAGCACCAGACTTTTATTTCTCAGTCATGGAGGCCCAAGAGACCCAGGCCAGAGGGCCGGCCCATGCCCTTCCCAGTGCAGGCATCTCCTGGCTTGCACACAGCTACTGTCGCTCTGTGTTACTTTTGCTGTAGAGCAAGATTTCTTGTCTCTTCTTATAAGGGCCTGGTGATCTACTTACCT